TTTATATTGCGCTTTTGTTTTGGCAGGGATATGATGGTATTCCTGCAGAAAGTGCCAGAGGTGCTACAGCTACAACCGTTCTTTAAAATGCAGAATTGCCCCACATTTTAAACTAAAAAGATCTGCCACAAATCAACAAGCAACACTATTCGATCTGTTGTTCTTAAGAGTTTGTGTAGATTTGTGTCTGTTTATTGTTGATAAATGAAACAGGCGGACTATTAAGGCACATTTCTAAGCTGCCTGTCGTTAGCATCAATCAAAAAAACAGGAAATCCATCACTCACTGATCATAACAAGCTGTGTGACCTACGACCAATGAAGTGATTACTACTGAGGCTAGCTCACTAGAAAAATCTAATACGCTTTAGTTGTCTCTATTTACAGTATAATAATAAAAACACATGGAAATACAGTATAATAAGGGTTAGAATGTTTGAGGGCGACTAAGATGTTTGCGTGGACGGACACTGAGGTTTAAGATTTGCTCACATAAGAAATTTCCAAAAGCAAACCTTTGCAAAACAGGTGACTAAATTCACGGTTGTTAATTTAAGTCTTTATACATGGGTCTGTATATAGTTGTAAAAGATCAAACATGTTGCTTTTTCCATAGTCTCAACTTAATATTGCTTAGACCAGGGTTATTTAATGCCACTTACAACTGGGAAGAATATAAAAATAGTGGGTTTGAGAGTGATTGGCAATGATTTGTAAAGATTTTTTTTATCAACCACAACCCCATCAAGGTCAGCGAACATTCTGTCTCTCACAGTTTCAGTCTTAGAAAAAGTATCTTTTGTTTGGATAATGTCCAAACTCCTCACAGGGATGCTGCCACAGACTTAGTAGAAAGATACAAGCACTTACTTTACCTCCTTTTGTTCCCCAATACAAAGTGAGGAAAAAAAAACAGCCCAAAATAGATAAGAAACAAACAACTTCCTGGAAAGAAGGCGTTATTTCAAGTGGGTTCTTTAGTCGCAGAAAGTCTTTCATTAAACACAGGTTGTTGTTGGCAAAGTGAACAGAAAAAGACTTTGCAGTTCATTTGATTTGAAACTGTAACATTTCTATGTTTACTTTCAATCTCTTTGGTTTTGAAAAAAGGACGTCTTGGCACATGTATAGTTAGCTGAGGTGGTATGAGTTTTGCTGTGTTTTTTTGTCTGGACACGTCTCCAGTCCATCACAGGGACACACAGAGACAAACAAGACAAACAACCATTCACTTTGTCACGCACACCTAGAGACAATTTAGTTAACAATCAGTCTAACATGCATGTTTTTGGTCTGTGGGAAGAAACCGGAATACCTGGAGAAAACCCACACATGCACGGAGAGAACATGCAAACTCCACCCAGAATGGCACCCCGGCCGGGATTCAATCCGGTGACTTTCTCACTGAGAGGCGGCGGCAGCTCGAACAGCTGCACCACTGTGCCGCCCAGCTTAAACCATATATACATAAATGACCTCCTTCACAACTCTGCGCCACTAACATTCAAGCTAAAGCTGCTAACTGCTGCTGCTACTTATACTTGCTAATCCCGTAACATTCTATGAAAAGTTGACATTTTATGTATATAAGTGTAATGTACAACTGTTTAAATGTTTTTTAAATAGTGAATGGTCTTGTTTTACATTGGCAGCAGTCCACTTTTGTTTAGGCCTCATTCGAAAAAAACGGTGGCTCTATCCCCAAACCAATTCAATTCAGTTTATTTATATAGCATCAAGTCACAACAGAAGTCATCTGAGGGCACTGAACAGAAATATTTATATATAAAAATAATTTAACATTATTTATCTGAGGAGCAGACTGCTTTGAATTTAACTCCATCACAGAACTCTCATCTTGAGCAAGCATGAAGGCGACAGTGGAAAGGAAAAACTCCTTCATGAGGAAGAAACTTTTAGCAGAACCAGGTTCAGGACAAGCGCCCACCTGCTTCAACCGGTTGGGTTTGAGAGGAACAGGAAGGAGGAACAGATACACAATGGCAGGTCAAGAATCACATGTTAAGATAGAAATAGTATCAAATGACAACTATTCAACTTTAGCAAATCATTTAAGGAAATTATGTAAATTTGTCCTCTAGTAGTCTAAGTTTAATGCAGCATAAAAAGCCAACCCTAATTACAGGATTTATCAAAAAGGAAAGTCTTCAGCCCAGTCTTAAAACTGGACAATGTGTCGGTGTCATGGACAGAAACTGGAAGTTGGTTCCACAAGAGAGGAGCCTGATAACTGAGAGATCTTCCTCCCATTCTGCTTTTGGAAACTGTAGGGACTACGAGTAAGCCTGCGGTCTGAGAGCAAAGTGCTCTGTTAGGAAAATATGGAACAACAAGATCTCAAATATAAGATGGAGCTAGGTTGTTGAGGGCTTTGTAGGTTAGAAGTAAGATTTTGAATTCAATTCTGAATTTAACAGTGAGCCAATGGAGAGAAGCTAAAACTAGAGAGATATGATTTCTCCTACTAACTCCAGTTAAGACCCTGGCAGCAGCATTTTGGATCAACTGAAGACTTTTTAAAGAAGTATTTGGACACCCAGATAACAAACCATTGCAATGGTCCAGTCTAGACGTGACAAACGCATGAACCAGTTTTTTTGCATCATTTTTAGATAAGATGTTTCTAATTTTAGTGATATTACACAGATGGAAGAAGGAGGTTCTAGTAATGTTTTTAATGTGGGGGATAAAAGACATGTCCTGATCAAAAATAACACAAAACATTTTAACATTAGAGCTGGAGACCAGATTAATGCCATCTAAGGAGGGAGAAAGACTGAAAAATGTATTCCTAAGATGCTCAGGTCCAAAAACTAAAACCTCAGTTTTGTCTGTGTTCAAAAGCAGAAAATTTAGGGTCATCCAGGTTTTTATGTCTTTAAGACATGCTTGTAGTCTAAGTAGCTGATTGGATTCCTTGGGTTTCATGGATAAATATAACTGTGTGTCATCGGCATAACAATGAGCATTTATCCCATGCTGTTTAATAACATTACCTAATGGAGGCATATATAAGGTAAAGAGTATTGGTCCAAGCACTGAGCCCTGAGGAAACCAGGGGTCTTTCAAAAAGTTATGTACAACATGCATGATATAAATTTTTCATAAACTTTCCACAGAACTCCACTTCAAATGATCTGATTGACAAGTAACAGAATGAAACAAAGAGTAAAAAAATGGCACAGTTTTAAATTATTTTACACTTCTTGATGTTTCTTGAAAAAGAGAGGGGATCTTACTTTTTTATAAAATGCCCCTTTTCAGTCAGACATATCACACACAACACGTTGCAGCCCATTTTAAATGACAAGGAACTGTAACTGGACCCATCCAGCCTCATCCAAAAGTTCTTTCCATCGTAATAATGGCGATATGCGTCAATTCTCCTCTGTTAGTGAAACAATCACTATATGACAAAAGTTACATAACAGACAAAATCTGCTATTAGTGTCAAAGAAATTTCATAAAAACTTGTTGCGTAACATTTGCACTTTTCCAGTAAATTATTTAATGTAAAAAAAAAAAAGAAGTCTGAACCTATTAGGAATAAAAATATCCAGTGAATGGCAGTCTGCTCATGGCTTCAATCCTTCCCTGTAATCCAGGAATACAGGTCTACTTTTATTCTTCTTCCCGTCCATCCGTACTAATAGATGAAAAAAAAAAAAAAAAAACCAGGCCATTGCTGCTGGCTGGCCAGAAAAAGAAAAGCTTGGCTCAAATTCTTTGTTCGTTGGCTTTCCATTGCAAATCCAGCAGGCATTCTGTCTCAGCTCTCCTTCGCCTGACCACAGCTATGGCTTTGGATACAGCAGCAAGTCTGTCCATTCTCCTTTTGTGTTTGAGGATAATGCCCACTGTTTGAAGAGAAGAGAACTAAGGGCACGTTGTAGGAAAAATCCAACCTGGAGGAAAGCTGACCACTCATTCAAGTAGTGTCTGAGCTCAAAATGTCAATAGAGCCATGTACCAGGCAGCGAGACGTCACCAAGCGTTGAGTTGTCTTGGTTTCCCACTGGTTGGCAAAAGAACCCAACGTTGCAATAGAGGGTGAAATGTAAGGCAAACTGTGACAAATTAATGCAAACAATTAAAACGTCAAGAAGTTGTTGTGCACATGGGTGTATAAAAAGGATTGTTACAAACTTGGGCATTAATTTGAACAGATTTCTGAAAAATACACAAAAACGAATCTTTTACAGCGGTGTTGAGCACAGAGACATTAGTCAGCCTTCAGATCACTGTTACATCAGGAATACTTTCATTTATTTCTATAATTCTGTTTATTCTTAGCGTCACCGTGACACAATACAACAATGCTAAGTCCTTTGACTCGGCAAATTTTAAAATGACCCGAGAGAAAAACAAACCTGTTTAATAACTAGTGGTTTTCAGAGTGTGTATAAATTCCCGGGTCATCGTTACTACACTTTAACTGGACAGAAAACATTTGGTCACTTCATTAATTGATTACACCTTCCAAGCACTTATTTTGGACTAAACATGAGCGTATTGACTCACATAGTTAATTCATCTCTACATCTTTTGGCTGGCTCCAGGTCAAACCTTTTCTGCCAACCAGTCGTCTGAGCACGTAAATAAACTCATGGAATGGGCTTATTGGGTCGAAACAAGAAAGCGGCACTACTGACCATGTAAACTGACTTTTTTTTTTTTTTGGTAACCGTTTTATGCCTGATGCCCTTTCTGATGCAGCCTGGGCTCAAACCTGCAGCCCTGAGGACTGAGCTACCCCGGCCCTCAAGATGTAAATAGATTTAGAAATTTTTTATTTTTGTATTTTATACTGGGTTTAGGTACAAAAAAACCCCAAACACAAATACTTTTCATTCACTCACTTAGGGGAAATACAAAATGTAACAGGTAAAAAGAAGATGCTCTAAATGAATCTCCGTTCTTTAAAAGTTCCTCTCCGGAGTGTGTTCCAGACAAAGCACAGCCATGAAGCCACAGGGTCAGCTTACGTCACAGCTCAGAGTCTTTAACAACAACAAAAATCTAAAAAATTGCTCATGGATTGGGTCTGTGAAGTCCCTGCCATACAACCTGTCCTCTGTGTGTCCTTTCAGCTACATTTGCAGGACTTGACGATCATGTTGGAGAGCTGCTCCACCTTAGGGGTCCGTCCAGAGTAGTAGAGTATCGTGAGGGGCTCCAGGTCCTGAGGCACGCAGCAGGGGGAGGCCGAGGCGGATGGATTCAGAGTGTTGTACAGGCTCAGCAGCTGTCAGGAAAACAAGGCAGAAAGGTTGAAGTCCAATCCAAACCTTCTTTAGTGCTGGATGATGTAATCTTTGGATGTACTTCTACAAGTGATTAACTTCTGGAGTCAACCGGATTCAAAATGCTTCAGCTAATCATTGTTAACAAACACAATGTATGTACTTTGTCATATTTACTACTATTTAGCTTGTCATAGAAGCATCTACATACACTTGAAATCCATTGTATGAATGTTTATGAAGCATTCACACTATTGTGATCCATTTTTCTTCTGTACATTTTTCGGCATATTTCTCGTTCCACAATTTTTGTGCAATTTCAACAAATCGTATATCAAAACGTTTACCTCGTTCAGGAAAGAGGTGCTATCTATGGCTTTTGGTATTGGTGCAACTTTAGCTTTTTTAAATACTGTATTTAGTCTTTTCTGCCACTTTTTTTCATAGAAAATGAATTGAGCTCATTTTTCATCCTTCAAATCTTTAGATCTGTTTACAACCTTTTACTGCTCCTTTCACATTTTGTTCTGGTTCAGCTTCTTTCAGCTTCTTTCAGCTTCCTTCTACAAATTTAACCTTTTTTTCAGCTACTTTCAGCTGTTGTTTCTTCTGTTTTGTGATCCTTTCAGATTCTTTTTGCTAACTACAACATTTTTGTGCTTCTTCTAAATTATTTCTGCTTCTCTCTGCAAGTTTCAGCTTTTCCTGCTACTTCAGCTACTATTTAGTTGTTTAATGATAATTTTAAAAATTTCAACATTTTTTGCTCTCACTTTAACATTAATTCAGCTTAATTCAGCAAAAATGTGCTCTCTCTCCACTTCCTTCTGGTAATTTAAGCTTCTTTATGATTTTTTTGCTGCTTTTCAGCTGTTTTTTTTGTGTGATTTAATCTGTTTTCAGATAATTTCCACCTTTTTGGGCTCATTTTTGTTTCTTTCAGCCTAATTGTGCAAACTTATTCTTTCTGCTTTCTTTGCTAATTTAAGCTTGTTCTATTTTTTTTAGCTATTTTTAGCAGTATTTTAATCTTTCAGCTGTTTTTAGATAAATTCATGTTTTTCATGGTAATTTCTGCTACTTTCAACCTAATTAACTTTTTTATGGTAATTTCAGCTTGTTATGCTCCTTTCAGCTTTTTTCTGCTCCTTTAAACTTTTCTGCTATTTCAGCTACTATTTTGCCGTTTTATTCTAATTTGAGCCTTTTCGGCTAATTCCATATTTGTTTAGCTCATTTCAGCTCTATCCACTTCTTTTTTTATCCAGTTTCCTAACTGTTGTGCTCATTTCTGCTAATTTATACCTCATTCAGCAATTATGTGTTTTTTCTGGTTTCTTCTGCTAATTAAAGCTTGTTCTTTCATTTCAGATGTGATTCAGCAATTTTTTTAAGCTAATCTCAGCTGTTTTTCAGCAATAAGCATTCACACTGCATTTTTGCAGGATACGCAATTTCTCCAGTTAACTTTTGGAGTCAACCTGCTTCAAGACAGATTAATGTCTCTGCAAAAACTGGTCAGATTTTGGTCTAAAGTTCAATGAAAGTTTAGTAGACATTCAAAAGTAAATAAAGCGTGTAATAATTTATTCTGCTCATGTGGAGGGTCAAAGTAATCCCATCGTATTAAGCTAATCCATCACATCGGCACCACTTTAATGTAAACTAGAAACAATCTGTGCAGCAGCTCAGCTTCATGCTGAACGACTGTCATATTTTAATGAATACAAACTCATTTTGATTTTATTTAACTGATGTCTCACAGGCACCTTACTGTCATCTAAAACCTCATCTTGTTTTGTGTTCTTATCTGCCAGTATCACGCAGCAATATACAAGAAATGTATCTTTATAACAACTAATGTTGTTTTCCTTCTACTCTAAACTAAACAAAACGATGTAGTTTTTTTTTTTTTTTTTTTTTGTATATTATTCGCATTATGAGCAATTGGAAAGTAAATGAAATAAAGTTTTTAGACATTCAGCTTGCTATTCAACCTTTATCTTTTGCATGACTTTTCTAAAATGATTCAAACCTAAAGCTGCAAATAGATGCCAAAAGCAACACTAATTTTAGCTGGCATACAATCCCAACTGTGAATTCTTATTCAGCACGAAATGCAACATTTCTCCCTCTTAAAAAAAAAAAAAGCATTATTTGACAGTCGTCCTGAAAAAAACGTTTACCATAGCTTAACTCTGCAAGTTTTTACAAATATTACAGATGAGCTACAATGTGGTAGCTGAAGATGATCCCCAACAGATAGTCTGAGCACTGATTGTGCACAATCTTTGCCTATTTATTTTATTTATATTTTTTGGCCAGTAACTATTTATTTTATATATTATATATATTTAACCCATGCATTTTGATTAAAATGCAAACATGCATGGGTGAAAACTGCGGTTCATGCAGCACAAGATGGACAATGCAGGATCCACCTGCACTTGTATATAAAACGGCTACGCTGCTTGGGCCAGACACTTATTATAAACCTTTTTAAGCGTCTTGGGGTTTATTATTTTAAAGCCAATCTTCACATTTAAATGGATCCCAGAGGTGGAAATAATCAAATATAAATTAAAAAAGTCTTCATAGCTTTCCACCGCTTTGTGTAAATCATGAGTTGTGGTTTAGTTTTTACCGCCTCTCAGGTTTGCTCACCGAGCTATGCGTTGTATCTGAGCTCCTCAGGTAAGGGCAGGGCCCCGAGCAGTAGTTGGCATCGTACCCACTTGGCTCATGGATCCACTTCCAGTCCAGGTCACGCCTGAAATCGATGTGGAGTCGGCGGACGCAGCAGTTCTCCTCTGTGTTTCTGGGATGAGACGTACGTTGCATAAAAAGCCTCCAACGTGGTTAGCTAAAAACGATTAGAGCGTCTCTTACGAGAAGCAGTAGCTCGTGTCCAGCGCTCTTTTGCGTCGGCGTGTGGACTGAGTTTCCAGGCGATGGGGTGGGAGCATCATGATGAGGAGGTGAGGAAGATGTTGTTCCTTATTCTTCTTCAGATTATCCAGATCCAAGCGGCTGTACTCCTCCTCTCCATCAACACCTTACCCACAAAATGACACATTTTAATCTGGTACATTTTAGTTGCATGTCTTTTTGTAACGGTGAGAAAAAAAGATTAATTATTCTGTACACTGTAAGTTTAAAAAAAAAACAATTCAACACGAGACAAGCTATAATCACACAATAACTCTAAAACTGCCAATAATTTGAACACATTTGTAACAATTAGGTCATTTTGTATAGTAAATTTGAAGAATCATATCTGCAGAACATGTAACCAACCTTAGAGGGAGAGGAATTATAATAAGTATTTCATGAAGTCATTAAATTCCCAAACTGATCGAAGGAGTATCTGATTTCTGTAAAAAAAAAAAAAAAAAAGTAGAAGAAGATTGAAGCTCACCTTTAAACTTCACCTCCAGCACTTTGTTTTCATTGTCGATGACTTCTCCATTTGGGCCGAAGGTGTTGCAGGGACAGTGCACGCTGATCTCCAAACCCAGGTTGGTTCCTGATGACAAACGATTGAAAAGATCCATCATGCATTTATCATTGGGATGAATAATGGAAAACCTTCTGATCGTTGTGAAACAAATGTTCCTCACCTCTGTTTATCAGCCACTCCCGCACCGTTTCAGTCACGTCGAAGGAGAGCCATTCCGGAGAACCTCTGGTCAAAACGTTCTTAGCTCCGATGTAGCGTTGCTTCCTGATGTGCTCGTTTGGCCTCAAAATCTGCAAAACAACAACGCACAGTCACTATAACGGGTTTGAGAGACACATCACCTTTCTAATCTCTTACAGACGTGCATCTTTGTCAGTGGTGGACAGTAATGAAGTACATTTACTTGAGTACTGTACTTAAGTACATTTTCTGAGAATCCAATAATGGTCAGTCAGGTCACCTGGACAGTTTTTCTTTCTTTCTTTCTTTCTTTCTTTTTTTTGGTGGAAAGATGTTTCGCCCTCTATCCGGAGGTCTTCATCATTCTGAGGTGTCCCAAGTAAATTGTTTACACCACTAAGCAGTACACTCCTTTAGTGGACCAACCAGTTTGCTGATGATAAGATGGTTTCTGGGGAGCTGTCCTGTCCCCTGTTAACTCCTACCAGGCAGGCAGGGACTCCTCAGACTGATGAAGCCCTCAGGATAGAGGGCAAAACATCTTTCCACAAAAAATAAAATAAACCATCCAGATGACCTGCTTGACCATTATTAGATTTTGTACCTGGATGATTGAGCATGAACTTTGATGTCTTGAACCACTTTGGCTGTGGCTGCCTGCCTGGGAGGAGTTAACAGGGGACAGGACAGCCCCCAGAAACCATCTTATCACCAGCAAACTGGTTGGTCCACTAAAGAAGTGTATTAGTGGGGTAAACAGTTTACTTGGGACTCCTCAGACTGATGAAGCCCTCCGGATAGAGGGCGAAACGTCTTTCCACTTAAAAACACTGTTCAGATGACCTGATAGACCATTATTGGATTTTGTACCTGGATGATTGAGCATGAACTTTGATTTTCGGAGTATCTTTACTTTACTTGAATATTTATGTTTTTGGGAACTTATAACTTTCACTCCACTACATTTCAAAGACAAATATTGTACCTTAGACTCCACTACATTTCTAGGAAGCTTCTTGTTTACTTGTTCCTTTTGGCTCATCTTTATAATCCACTGTTGCTATTTTTCTTTCCTTAAATGCAGCTGGCCAGTTGTTGATTCAGGTATTATTCTAGATTCATCTGTGCAGAACATTCATTGTGTTGTCAGCTTCTACGTTAAGTATGGCAGTACTTTCATTTATCAGTGTTACTGTTTCCTCTCCTGAGTTAAGTTGTTGCTGTCAATATATGCACTTTTACAGACAAACAATGCGGTGTATGAATACTGAAGTTGAGGAAAAGACTAAATGTGCATCATCTGTTAGGATTTCCATGACTTTCCACAAACATGTAAAATGCAGGAAGATATTATTTGTAGTTTACAGGTTTTATTAAGGCATGTGGTGTTAGAGTGGTTCTACATGTCAATACATCATCAGGTGGTTTCAGAGTTACAAGGTTCTGTAAAATCACTCAACAATACAGCAATGTACTGATGTTAGAAAATATAACTTGTACTTTTAACTACTTGAATATTTTTTAAATGCATTTAACACTTAAGTATTTTCAAAAGTAAGTTTTCAGTACTTTAACTTGAGTAAACTTTTGACTGAGCAACATTTACTTGTAGTTGAGTAAGATGAGTATACTTTTACTTAAGTGCTAGAATTGAGTACTTGAGTTGATCTTTGTTAATGTTTTGGAGCACGATTAGTGTTGCGGTTGAGATAATGTCTAACTTTAAGTGTTATTTCTTGAGCATTAATGTGCAGTACAAAGAATCTTCTTCAAGTCTTTGTGGCTCAACAAACTTAAAAATAAACATTTAGCAGACGTATCATTTTTCTGCTCTCATGATTCAAATTTTAGGGAAAATGTGTTTTTCTTCAACTTCACCATAAAACGAAGTCTGCACAATGATCAGGAAACACAAAATACCTTTTACAAATATTGCAATGAAGATACTGTAATAAAGTCACATGTTTTGTCAATCAATCCATCTATGAATCAAAACTTTATTTCAGATACATACATGATCCATAGTAAACAAAAACAAGCAAAAAAGATAACGACATCAAGACACAATAAAAATAGAACATTCATCCATTGCCATGTTTATGTATATATTTAATTCATTCATTTAAAAGAAACAAAAGAAACAAAACAAATTCATAAAAAAAAACCATTGAATGAAAAGGGTGCATAAAAAAGAAAAAAATTCTTATAATATCTGCCCCTTATTTAAAATATTATAAAATAACTTTAAACAAACAACAACTTAGGTTTGAACATCTCCAAAGTGAAAAGAAAACATCAGGCATCCTTCACATGGTACTTTCCTAACAATTTTAACTTGACCATCTTTTTAAACATATACATTGTTTTAGAAATGTTTATGGTGATATCAAGACAATTCCACAATCCTGTTCCCTGAATTACAACACAACTCTCCTTCAGACTAGTTCTAAATGGAGGTTTTACAAACATTTCCATTCCCTTAAAGTTATAATGACTCTCTTTTTGAACACATTTTAATTGAATATTTGAGGTAATATTTTTATGAGCTTTATACGTGACTTGTAAAATACTATATTCAACCAAATCAATTTTTTTTTAAATAATTTCAACTTATGAAATAATATATTTGTTGGGTGACCATAGCACTTCATACTAAGAATTCTTATAGCTCTTTTGTGTAAAATAAAAATTGTTTGTTTTGCATGCTTTTCCCCAAACTTCAATACAATAAAATGAATATGGAACAATCACTTCATTATACAATATATACAAAGCTTTGTCATTCAAAAACTCTTACTTTTTACAGTTTATTCTTAAGTAATTTCCATGAGATTTCCATGTCGGCTTCTCTTTAATAACGACACCCCCAAATTTTATTTTATTGACTCTATGAATTTCAATACTGTCAAATTTAAATTGTACTTTAATAATTTTCTTTCTATTTCTAAATATCATGTAATTTTTTTTATTTTTATTTTTTATTTTTACCAAATTTAATGATAAATTCTTAAGTTGGAATGAAGTTTGAATTTTTACGAATTCAGCCTGTATCATCTCTAACATCCGTTCAATACTGTATCTTCACCTGAACAAAAAAATGTGGTATCATCTGCAAATAAAACACACTTCAAAAACCCTGACACATCAGCTAGATCATTCATGTACAAATTAAACAACTTTAGTCCCAACACAGAGCTTTGAGGAACTCCACATCCATTAACACACAATTTAGATTTTACATCGTTTATCTGGGCAGCACGGTGGCGCAACTGGTAGAGCTGCTGCCTCTCAGCGAGAAGGTCCTTGGTTCAAACCCCGGTCCAGGGGCCTTCTGGGTGGAGTTTGCATGTTCTCTCCGTGCATGCGTGGGTTTTCTCCGGGTGCTCCGGTTTCCTCCCACAGACCAAAAACATGCATGTTAGGCTGATTGGTAACTCTAAATTGTCCCTAGGTGTGAGTGAGAGAGTGAATAGTTGTTTGTCTCGTTTGTCTCTATGTGTCCCTGTGATGGACTTGTGACCCGTCCAGGGTGTACCCCGCCCCTCGCACAGTGATTGCTGGACATGGGCACCAGCGACCCCCGTGACCCAAAATGGAATAAGCGGGTAAAGATAATGGATGGATGGATGGATGGATCGTTTATCTGTACAGTCTCCTATTACTCAAATAACTAGATACCCACTGTAGTGCTAATCCTCTAATGCCATATTTATTCAGTTTTTCAAGGAGAACGGTGTGGTCAATAGTGTCGAAGGCCTTTTTTAAATCAACAAAAACACTTAACACAACACTGTTTTTGATCAACAACATTGATATCTCTTCTATTAGTTCTTTGAGAGACACTGATGCTGAATTATTTGCTCTAAACCCATATTGACTATTATTCTGCTTATTTATGAATCAATCTAATCTGGTTACAAATAATTTCTCTAATATTTTTGAAAATTGTGGCAGCAAGGATATTGGTCTGTAATTACTGAATACGCATTTCTAGCCATATAAATTAAGGCACCAGTGATTCCACAGACTAGAAGAGAACCTAACTGAGCTTTGTATGGGGTTGGTCAGAGTATAAATGATGCTATTTACAGAGTCTGTTAGCCTACACATACATCTGTACTTAAGGTTTCGAAGCACAGCAGCACAAGCTGGTACGTTGACATTTACAAACATCTGACTGGCACTACTCCATCACGGCACCTCAAGCAGCATCTTCATGCCATCATTATACACCACCTGAAGTGTATGCATACTGCTTTTTCTGTAATGCCGCCACAGGTGGAGTATACATTGGAGTACAGTATGTTTTAAAGAGTGCAGTTTTTACACATAGCGAACTTCCGAAGAAGCATATTAGCTTGTACATATTGCATATAACGCTGCCTGTACATGTCCCTATCATCAAACAGGTCAGCGGTTATGTGATGTCCCCATTATTTCACCTCCTCACTGACTTGGAGGATGCTGCCAAACAGAGTGAAGTCAGGGAAAGAGAGTTTAGTGTCCTCTTTGCTCCTGACAATCATGATGTTCCTCTTTTTGCATTATATTTAATATCAACATCCAATCCATACTGAGAGCAAACCCTTAGTCGCTGCAGACCAGCGCTATATATATGGACAAAAGATTACAAGATGGTCAGCCTACATCAGGTGGTTGATGGCTGTATTGCCAACCCGACAGCCAGTCCTACACTGATTCAACAGCTTAGATAAATCATCCATATACACATTAAAAAAGCAAGGAGACAAAATGCTGCCTTGGCGCACACCATTACTCACATAAAAAGAAGATGATACAGATTTCCCCCATTTTATACACATAGACTGGTGATCATACCAATACACTAAGATTCTAAATAAATATTTCAGATTATCACGATGCTCACATTATTCTCTTTGTGCCGCCTGTAAGCATCAGGGTCCAGCTGATTACCACAAATGTATATTGAGAACATTTTGCAATTTGCTTCTGTAGTTTATTGGGACTCCCTGGCCATGGTGCATGTACTAATATGTCAAATATCAAAAATATTTGACTGACTAAGCAGCCCTAATACATAACTATACCAAACCACCTTTGTATTTATACCAGGAGAAATTACATTTCCTGTGAAAATGCAGTGTGAAAGCTTACTGCTGAAGGACTTGTTGGAAAACAGCTGACATCAGCTCAAACCATGCTGAAATGTAGCTGTACTGGAAGAACAAGCCCAAGTTAGTTGAAGAAAGCAGAAAGAACAGAAATGAGCATAAAAAATTAATAAATTAGCTAAAAAAAAAAGCAAACACTGAAATTAGCAACAAAAAAAAAATAGCTGAAAAGCAGCTGAAACAGCAGAGAGAAGTTTAGATTACCAGAAGTAAGTGAGAGAGCACATGTGTGCACAATTAGGGCACAATCAGGCGGCTGTGGCTGAGTGGTTAAAGCAGTCGTCCTCCAATGCAAGAGTTGGGGTTCGATTCCACCAGCAGTCACATGCTGAAGTGTCCTTGGGCAAGACACTGAACCCCTCATTGCCTCTGATGTGTGTCCCATCAGTGTATGAATGTGATAAAGCACTGATTATTCTTTGTAGAGATCTAATAAAGTCTGTATGAATGGGTAAATGAGAGCACAGATTGTGTTGTAAAGTGCTTTGAGTGTCTTGATCAGATATAAAGGCACTATATAAATATACAGTCCAGTTCGGCTGAAAGAAGCAGAAATGAGCACAAACGAGTGGAAATTATCTGAAAAAAGCTTTAAATTACCAGAAGGAAGTAGAGAGCACTCTTTTGCTGAATTAGGCTGAAAAAGGTTGACACAAGTGCAAAAAATGTGGAATGAGCTGAAAAGGCTAAAATAAGCATAAAACAGTTATAGTAGCTGAAAGGAACACAATAAGCTGAAATTAGCTGAAATAAGTTAGAAGAAGCACAAAAATGTTGTAGTTAGAAGAAATAATCTAAAAGGCGCACAAAACAGCTGAAATTAGTTGAAAGTACCTGGAAAAAAAGTTAAAATTTGCACAAGGAATCTGAAAGAAACTGAACCAGAACAAAATGTAAAAGGAGCAGTAAAATGTAAACAGAGCTAAAGATTTGAAGGATGTAAAATGAGCTCAATTCATTTTCTACGAGGAAAATAAAAATGGCAGAAAAGGCTAAATATTTCAAAAAGCTAAAGTTGCACCAATACCAAAAGTCGTAACAGTCTTCCCCTGAACAAGCTGAACATTTTGATATATGGTTTGTTGAAATGGCACAAAAATTGTGGAACGAGAAAGATGCTGAAAAACACACGGAAGAAAAATGGATCACGATAGTTTGAATGCTTCATAACGTTCGCATAATAAACGGAGGCCTTGAGTTACTAAAATGACTAAAACAGACACAGAATTGTTGTTCCTCTCTGCTGTTGCAACATCTTTGGTGGACGTGCACAGGAGTGCTTTTAGAAGAGAACCAAGAACATCAGAATGGACTGAGCCAAAGCTGAAAATATGTTTTTATTTTACTTTCACTTCCAGTTCACAAAGTCAGTTTAGGAGTTCTGATCAAACTAGAGTCCTCAAACAGTTTAATCTGGACTCAAACTGGATTAACTAGCTGTCCAACATGCTGGCCAGCATGTAGCAGATTATTCACCCAGTCCTGGCGACAATTTTATGTTAAGAACGTTAAACTCTGATATTTGGGTTGAATCTTGAAGCAGTCAACCACACCTAAACTCATCTGACAGGGGTAAACTTTCTTTTGTATAAAAAATGTCAATTTCAATTAAAAAAAAAAGGTTCAGCGTTGTTGCTTTGACTAAAAGCTTTGTGTTTGATATGGGTAGAAGGACAAGGAAACGGTACCTTTACGCACCTGGTAGAGCTCAATCCGCTGCTCACTCCTCTTGGCGCTGGCGTTTGGGACCTTCAGGGCCCGAAACTCTGCTCTGAAGAGGTTGGTGGAGTTCCTCTCCATGGGTGAGACGTTAAAGCGGAAAATCTTCGAGCTGCCTTTAGGGCAGTAGAATAGATCATCTGCAAAAGAACAAATGAATTAAGAAAACAAGTCAAGTCTGGCATTCCTTGAAAGACGTGCACATCCCCTGCTGCCTTTCATGCATGTGCTTCAGATCATCTTGCGGTGAGTAAAGACAAAGTCTAACATTGAAGGTAAGCTGTGGCAGCCATCTTGAATCAGACTCTTAAAGATAATGGTAGATGCACATCATAGCAAGAAAGTTAGCTGAAAAAAACTCAGCTTGGGTCTTAGTTGGATGAGCTATCAGTGCTGCTGGCAAAGTTCTCAACATGTTCGGCGTGAAAGGGTAACACTGAGACACACTTTAAGATTTCTGAGCAAACACTGCCTTTAGGACGAGATCTTTTCAACAGACTCTCCAGCGTTTTTAACGTGAGGATGCCAAACCACACGGTGCAGGCAGCACAAAAGATGCAGAAGAAAAAGATACAGACACTGGACTGGACCGCCTGAAGTCCTGAACTGACCTGAGTGGACAATGTGTCAAAATGTGGGAAAAAAAAAAACCTCCTCCAATGTTGAATAGGGTGCATTTGCAAGAAACAAAAACAAAGTATCCTGATGCATGCGCAATAATCCAGGTAGAAACATCGAACAAAGTCAGGTCCTCTGGATGGATAAAAAAATTTTTTTAATAAAAAAATAAAATAACTTGTTTAAATGTGTTGTCTTTAATCCAAAAGACTTCTTCAGTCTGAGGAGCTGCATGAAACTCAGTTTTATAAATAGCACCTTCTCACAGTGGATCAACCAGTTTGTTGTTGACATCCAGAACTAGCTGTTCACATGATAAGGGAGGACCATCATCCTAATGACTGATCCTTAATGCCCTGATGGCCACTTGCTATTCACAGAGGGCTGAGTGGGACTAGCAATAGCATTGTTGTAAGATGGTGACAATTGGACACGGAGACCTCCGCCCCTGTTTAACAAGGGACGGTTTCTCAGCAAACTTCATGCTCAATAATCCAGGTACAAATCCAACAAACTTCATG